CTAAACCTAAGGGCTAAAAAAATATCATATATTGCAGCTTGCCTGTCCTTATATGTGGTAGCCTCATTACTTTTTATTTTTTTTAAAACATATTTCCAAAAGGTTTAGCCATGGTTTTCATATTGGATTTAGCTGTGATTGCACAGCCTCTAGATATATGCTACAGTCCTGTATAAAAAAAGAGGCTGAAAACAAATAAAAACCCAACGTGGTCAAGAATGTCACACATTTCTAACCTCATCAGATGGAATGGATCCTTCCACAATATATGCCTGATGAAGCACATCACACCAAATTTCATAGCCTGTGAGATCTGAAAAGAGAGAAGACAAGAAAATCTCTGATTCATGTGGTTCGCCAAGAGCTCCCCACCCTATACTGAGCCTATATGTTTGTTTTGGCCCTTTCTTCTCCTTCCCCTCTAGCATTCCCTCTGTGCCATTTCCTCTACTTCCTCTCCAGTCTCCATGTGCCATTTCCTCTACTTCATCTCCAGTGTCCATGTGCCATTTCCTCTACTTCTTCTCTAGTGTCCATGTGCCATTTCCTCTACTTCCTTTCCAGTGCCCATGTGCCATTTCCTCTACTTCCTCTCCAGTGTCCATGTGCCATTTCATCTACTTCCTCACTAGTGTCCATGGGCCATTTCCTCTACTTCCTCTCCAGTCTCCATGTGCTATTTCCTCTACTTCCTCTCTAGTTTCCATGTGCCATTTCCTCGACTTCCTCTCCAGTCTCCATGTGCTATTTCCTCTACTTCCTCTCCAGTCTCCATGTGCTATTTCCTCTACTTCCTCTCCAGTGTCCATGTGCCATTTCCTCTACTTCCTCTCCAGTCTCCATGTGCTATTTCCTCTACTTCCTCTCTAGTGTCCATGTGCCATTTCCTCTACTTCCTCTCCAGTGTCCATGTGCCTATTCTTCCCCTCCATTATCCCGCCTGTACCATTGCCTCACCTTCCATTCCGGTGTCCCCTAAAAGCCATTGCATCTCCATCACCTCCAATACCCCCTCCTCCACCCCCCAGTACAATTGCCTTTCCTTTCCCACCAGCATTCTTCTGTATCTTTGCTTCTCCTTCCCATTCACCATCCCTCCTGCACCATTGCTTCTCCTTCCCATTCACCATCCCTCCTGCACCATTGCTTCTCCTCGACCTCCAGTGTACCCACTGTATCATTGCCTTTTCTTCCCTTTCAAAACCCCCCCTGTACCATTGCTTCTCCTTTCATTCCAGGATCCCCACTGCCTTTGCCGCTCCTTCCTTCTGGTGCCCCCACCTGTATCATCACCTCTCCTAACTCTTTAGCATCCCCCTGTACCATTCCACTCCAGAATCCCTCTGTATCTTTTCTTCCCCTCCAGTGCCCCACATACCATCACCTCTCCTTCCCCTCCAGTGCTCCCCCTGTACCTTCACCTCCCCTTCCACTCCCTTGTCCCCTCACTGTACCTCTCCTTACCATTATTACCATTTCTTATCACCTCTCCTTACCATCACCTCTTCTTTCACTCCAGAATCCCTCTATACCTTTGTCTCTCCTTCCCTTCCAGTTTTCCTTCTGCACCTTCGCCTCTCCTTTCCCTCCAGCATTTCCCTGGCCTCCACCATTGTCTCTACTACCACTTCAACATCTTTCTATAATTTTCTTCTCCATTCCTTCAAGTGCCCCCCCCCCCCCCCCGCCCGGATTGCCCCTCCTTCTACACTTCCATCATCCCCCCGCACCATCATCTCTCCATCTCCTCCAATGCCTCTCCTTTACCATTACCTCTCCTTCCCCTCGAGTGCTCGAGTGAATTCTGAAATCTCACCTCAATCAGCAAAATGGCACATGCTCCAATCACTGATATGATCTCACCAACCAGCCTCAGGAAGTCTGCGGAGGTGATATAAGATTCCTGTGTTGTGCAAGAAAATTGGGTAATGGTAAGAAAAAGCAGCCGATGCAAGTAAGTGTATCTGTATTCAGCAATTCACAAGAATATAGTACAATCCAAGACCAACTTCAGGTGTGAATGAGCACTCATAGGTTGGATCATCTACTGACTCTTGACCTTTCCATAGCTCCCTGTGTTTCTACTCTATTTCACAAGGCTGACCCAAAGGTGTCCTCATGTTGTAGCTGAACTTTGCAATGATACATCTATTCCAATTACGGAATTAGGACACCGTGATTTTGCTTTGACGTTCGGAGCAGAACTACAGCCAGTAGGGATGGATAAGGGTGACTGGTATTGCACTGGAGGAACTTTTATGGTAGCTTTGATAGTTGTTTTTAGAAATTAGTGAATCAGTTTGCATCAGGACCCAAGCAAATTGGCTTGTTTACTGTGCATCAATGTGTAGCACTACCCATTCAGGGGCCACTGGATTTGTTTTGGGTCCCCCCATGCTTTGCACAGCCAGGCAGCAGGTATTCTCCCCACTTTGCACACTTGGAATCAGTAAACAGTCCTTGAGCTTTTTTTGTTGTTGTTGTTTTTATTAAGGAGTTAAGAACTTGGATGGGGTCTAGGGGTATATGGGAAGCCAAAAGGAACTGTAAACTTGAGTACAAAATTCATAGCAACAAATTCTGTACAAAAATGTACACCGAAAATAGCAATAGACTCAGTTAAGGAGTTCTGAAGTCCCCTTGTTGTACCTCCTCAGACCCCAGATGATACTTCCAGGTATCCCTGGGCATAGGGTCCCAAGTACTGTCAATTAAGCAGTCCCGGATGAGAAATAGTAAGGTAAGGACCTGGCCACCCTCTCCCCTTATCTGACCCAGGGATTTTAGGAGTATTCACACTGTCCTGTCTTGTTAGCTTGGTGGGTTGGTGGCTGCCTTCAGGCCTTATGATGGGCTGGCTCCTTCCCTGCTGCACAGGTTATCCTCCCAAGGAGACAATGGGTCAGAGGGGATCCTCCCTTCCAGTGACCTGTCTGTAGGTAAGCCCTCTCCCTGGGACCCCTCCCAGGCTCTACACTCCACCCTTCCTCTCAGTCCATCTTCCACCCGACACTGCCCCTTGCCCTCCAGGCTCTGTGATATTTAAGCGTTGTCTTTGGTCACCATAACCAGCCTCCTGCAAACGGATTGGCCAAGGTCCCTCAAACATGCAGATATGTGCCTCCTCCCCATCTTCACTCCTATTTGAGAAAGTTCTCAGTTTCTGGAAAGGTGGGAAGACTCCAGAAGCCCTTACCTGTAGAGTCCCCTAGCCTGTCATAAGGTGAATTCACTCTACCTCACTCCCAGGCTGAGTCATCCCAGGCTGCTACCCAGCCTCTATCTAAAAAAAGAAAACAACAAAGCCTATCTAGCTAACTTTACAAATGTGTTGATAAGGATGCATAATTTCCTTTAGGATCGCACCTAATAACGTAGCACAACACAGGGATTGGCCATTCATTGTCTGTAGTCCAGAATGTCACCCAAGGAGAACTAGACCATTCTCTCTTTGAGTCTGGACTTCCCCTATAGGGGGAGCCCATTGTCACCCTACACTTAGTAGACTGCCTTGTGCTTCTATGGACCAACCTTGTAACACCCTATTAAAGTGTAGATAAACCACGGCAAAGTACTTCTCTTATTTGCTACCACTGGGATTCGTTATACCTTCAAGATATGTTCAAAAAGTGCAAAAAATACCTGTTAATCCTGCCTTAAATCCTTTTGGGCAGATACCTTTCTCTGGTGTACTGTTAGGCGGACTACAGAACACCTTGCCATGTTATAAAAATAGGGAAAGAAGGGGATGTTCTGTATCCTTCCTAAGATGGCTATGCTGCTCCTTCAGAAATACAGTGAACATTGTCCCCTTAGAACATGAACTTTTACTGGAAGGTTCGCTAAGGGAAAGTACAGGAAAAAAATGTCAGAAAAAAGAAATAGAATGAAGCCACTACAAGAACTGGTAAACTGCATTATTTTACATTTGTGTCATTGGGTTTAGATACAGTACAAAACATTATAAACCTTCCTATCTGCACCTTGTGTTTTTCACCTTTATAATACGTGCATTGATCATGTAGTTTCATGGTGTCATTTGTTGCCCTGTACACACAGCCTATAGTAGACTAAATCTTCACATTCCGGTGTCAGAAGTTTCTGCTTGTGTACAAGCATGAGACATGCAGCTTGGCACTGCACAGGTTAATGCATGACTTCTGTCTGTAGTGTGAAAACTGACATTTCCTGTGAAGAAACTACATATCCCACAATCCCTGGGTCTAATGCTCTGCAGGTTAGAGCTGTTCAGTAGTCAGCTCTGACACAAATACAAACAGGCAAATATTACAATGCAGTCTTTCATCATTTTATCAGTCCCACATTTGTGATGCAACATGGAAATGGCAAGGTATATACTGGACACTGTATTACCCGGAAGAAGAAGTTATCTGTTCTTTTGATGAATAAGGACAAGCTAGGTGAATGAATGCTTGGAGAGTTGATCAGCCATGACACCACAAATTGCAGTCACAATCAGGGGCGGACTGACAACTCAAACAGGCATCCAGCGGACAGGTGATTATAAAAGGGCGTTACTTAACCCCTTCACTCCTGAGGGTAAAACAAATCTAAATGCCTAAGCGCAATTCTGCAACTTTGACATGTGTTAGTAAAACCGTACATAGCATCACAACCAGGGGCGGACTGACAACTCATGGGGCCCCCGGGCTATAGGGGATCATGGGGCCCCTGTGTCCTTGCCCAAACTCAAAAAAGCCTATGAAAAAGGTACCAGGGGAATCTCATGGGGCCCCCTACTGACCCCGGGCCCTCTGGCATTGCCAGAGTTTCCAAATGGTCAGTCCGCCCTTGGTCACAATATATTAGTGCATCATTACATTTTCCTAAACACCTCTATTTTTTTTCAGAATGATGTCAGCAGCATCTCCTGTATTTCAGTAATGGTTTTGTATAATGAATATTCACATTGCCCATCTATTTGATTGATTTTTGCTTTGTAGACAGAAAATGCAGACAGAATTATCTGACTTGTCTCACCTGTAGGGTTTTCTGGACAAACAGGGTGATGTCCATTGGATCGGTGTTGTGTCTTCTCGTGGTTTGATAGGTCGGTTGGCGAAGCAGAGGGACACACAGATCATATATGTCAGATAAATTATGGCTAAGATCCATATATATGGGCGCCCGGTTCTCTGCCACTTCTTCTGTAACAGCTCTTTTATAGGGGAGATGTTTAATATTTTGTTAGCCTAGAAATGAAAACAGATTTCTTATAGGTTGGATCACTGCAACAAATTGAGCTGTTGACTTATTGGTAATAGGAGCCCAACCTGATCACGGGGCACAGTTGGACCAGGAGCCTCTCCTGTCTTTGCATCATCAAGCCATCATTTGCACTATGCAGGACCAAATGTATTAAAATATCATTTTTATTACTCACCTGGCTTTTTTTTGATGATGCAATCAACTCCAGTATGGATTGTCCTTCCCTTGTATCGATCTCCGACATGTCATACATCACGGTAGTAACTGGGCCAAATGTCCATTGGGTTTTTCGTTTCTTGTGAATCAGGTGCTGGAACATCTGCCAGAAAAATTGTATTGGCCATTAAAACCGAACTCCAGCAAGAGTCTCTGATTTTATTGCTGTCTTCATGTATAATGGGAAGATTTACCCTCATGTACTATTAGGAGATCATTTTAATTTAGGGCTGAAGGCTAACAGCCTAAGACATCTGGTTGCCACCGTGTATCCCAAGTCTCCCAACCTGAAGGCACAAATCCATTGATGACATCTACATCAAGTCCATCCAACTCAAAAATGAAGATTTGCTATGTTATAGGGATATCTATAAATGTTAATTCTGTCTAAGCAGTGCCCTACAATATTGATGTTTTTTTCCACCTCCTGAAAGACAGCAGCGCCCTTCTTGATGAGGGTGCCTAGGCTCTCCAGTGCCTACAACAATATATTTACATATCTGCTGTGTGAGAGCTAAGGCACTGCTGCCACTGAATGCTAGTCTCACTAGTTTGGAGTGATATTTGAAGATGTCACTGCTGTGCTGCTTCCTGTTCTCTTTGATGGAGAGGAAGCTGGACCTGACGGCCTGCAGTGCAAGGACCCCCCCTGCTCCTGCTTAATTTATTTTGTAAATTAGTGTTTCTTTACCCTTATGCTACTTCTTGAATATTCCCAAACTAGTCAATCATCAGATCAGCAATCATTAAGATGGGGCAACTCTGACACAAGGAAACAAAGCCCTGCCCATCTGCCAAAAGCCACCTACACACATCAACCCATTACAGAACAAGGCATAGTAAGAGAGTAATGGGGAAAGATCTAGTGCATGTAGTCCCTAGGCAATACTGGTGACTTTTCCCTCTCTCTGTCCTTTTTTCGAGCACAACTTGCACAATACAGGTCCTCTTTAACTCTGTTTTAAAACAGAGCATTTACCCCCACCACCACATTTCCTTCAACAGCGGCCAACTTCAGCGGGGTGAGTCCCTGTCTGTTGGTTATCTCATTCAGAGGCTTCTCATGAGGTTTGCGATCCTGGGACAACAGGAAGTCAAACATTTGGCATGAAAGACTTGCATTGGGTTGTAGAACGAGAATGTGCAGAACTGTGTTACCTGTTGATATCATAAACACAAAGGGTAAATGATTTAAACAAAAATAATATACGTTCATGAAATTATTTGCATGCGACCTGTTGAAACAAAAATCAAGTTCAAAAATGTTTTCTTGAATTTTTCTTAAATTTCTCTAGCAGGTCCATGTCACAGACTATGGAGGGTTGCTGGTCTTGAAGTTTGACTGAAGTGCTCTCCTCTCCGGAGGAGAGGTCCAAGTTTTGATAATGGGAGATAAGGATGGCACCAAGAGAGCCTGGAGATCCAGATCCTGTGAGTAGAACATGCCTCAAAATGAGCCCATGCTCCCAGAACGTTCAGGGATTTTTTTTGCCCCTTTTGATGCCATTGGAGTCCAGGGATAATGAACAAGTGCCGGAGTGTGAAGAGTGGGCTACTAGTGATATCTATGCTGGCTGATGTGCCCTGGAGGTTAGGAGCGAAGTCAGCGTCTGGCTATCTTACTCCACTTCTCACTAGCGCCCTCCCTTAATACATTTTTCAACAACTGAGGCATTCAAACCAGAAGACTGAGTAAATACTATGAATCAATGGTCATCATAACCCTAAGGAGGTGTCACCGTGGTGCAATCCATTCATATTGTATTGAGTTGTGTCATCACATCAACATTGCTCTCTGTATAGGATCGCCCCTGGGTAAGAGAAGATTCAAGGAGGAAGAAGACCCAGCGCAACACATGATTGGCCTATATACATTTGAAAAAGATGTATAAAAAAGAATATATATGCTGAGGGCTTTAACACAGGGAGTGTGATGAGTAGGACGTGATCCTAGTCCAAACCCATGAGAGCGAGCCCTCCTGGAAGCTGTCACCTGTGCTGGATACAAGGGTTGTCTATACATTCGGCTGTGGGGCAAGGAATTCCTCGGCTGCAAATGATTGGTCCAGTACAGTGAGGGCATCCTAGAAGGCTCGCTCACAGTGAGGGCATCCTAGAAGGCTCGCTCACATGGGTTTGGACTAGGATCCAAACACGTCCTAGTTCATCACTGGTGATGAGTGATTCATAAAGCATAGACTGAGGAAATAACAGCACAAGGGTCAGGAAGTAAATTTGCAGTGACCTTGTGAGATGTTTTCTGAATTCTTACTGCAGTTGATTACACAGTACATGAATTATGGCAAATTTAATTCACTTTCTGATGTTAATGAAGTTGCAGTTTGCTGGATGGTATCTCAGTGATTATCCAACATGTTATCGTCCAGTAGGTTTGTTAAAGCTCCAGTGTCCCCCCACCTGTGATCTCTTTTCCCATCCTGGAGCCCCCCTTTTTGTATATGTTAACATTTTTTTTTATGTATCTTGTTTGGATAGCTCCAGCCTAGTTAAGAGGCACACTGACTTCTTCCTCTTCGGATCTTCATACAGCAGTGGATGGTCCTCAGTGAAGCAGAAAGCAGCACCCAAGTGATGGATTCAGCACAGCTCTCTGCATAAAACACACAGTGAGTGCAGACTATCGTGGTCATGCCTCCTCAGGGGCGGGTCCCTGATGCCCCGCAATCACAGTATACCCTGCATTATGCTGCATGTCACTCAACCCAGAAGACTGAGGACATCTTGTGGTGCAGAAGCTTTACTGCAAGGGCCAGCACCAGAAAAGAGTGTTGCAGCTGGGATTTTTCTTAATATTGTTAGAATACCATAATATATGAAAATAGCCCAGAGATGAGCTTTAAAAACAATATACTCACCCCAACAATCCTGGGCCCGCATATCAGCTCCATTATCTAGAAGTAGTTTGACAATTTCCACATCACCTACACAAGCAGCAAAGGTCAGGTTATGTTCACCTGAAAACCACATTAGACAAAAATTATAATTCAGCAGTTTTTGGCTGCCCAATGGACCAACTGATCACACATTTGACAAAAATTTAAATTTTTATGCTTCCTTTTGGTCTATTAATTATACCATTGATAAAGTTTTGTTATATCTCTTCGATACAAAAAATACCCATTGATCCTGTTAGAAATCCAGAGAGCATAGCTTTATATGCACATTGAAGTGATATCATAAGTAACGGTAGCATCCTTGCCCAGTTCATCTCTATGTAATTATGTATGTAATGGAGATAAAGGGGGGGGGAGTTCTGTAATTCTAATACTTCCTGTCCACTGCTGCTCCATAGACACAGTACAGTGAGTGAGTGTCATCACGCTAGGACAGGAAATCTGCTACTGGTAGGATCTCCAGGTAATAAGAAAGCATTGCAAGCCTAATCCAGCCACCAATTTCATAGCAATAGTAAGCTGCAATAAATGATTTTTGTTTTTGGGTTTAGATACACTTTACAATGAAATCACAGGTTTGTTGAGGAAAGTAAATGTAAACCCTAAATGGATGATATTTCATTTCCTAAAGCACTGTGTATCATAAACAATTGCTATTCCTTTTAATAAAATATCATCTCAGTGCTGATCTCCTCCAGTCCCTCTCAGTCACTTCCTCTCTACATGCCCTTGCTCCAGCCACCCCCTGAACCCCATTGCCCAGGACCAGTTTCCTACTTGGAACCAATGCCAGAACACATCTGCGCAATGTGTGTCCTCATGGTTGATTGTAGCCTCCGGTAGGGTCATATGTGTGAGAGTGACAACGCAGGAGCACAATTGACAGACAGGTTTGGAAAGTAGTCATTCCTTAGCAGGAAGTGCCCGGGCAAGGACTGTCATGGTGGGATCATCAGGTATTCTTATACTGAAAGCTTCCGATTTTCCAAAGATTGAAAGTGACTTATAAAATTAAATCTACCTACTCTACGTACTGTTATGTATATACAGTATATACTGTATTTATATATATATATATATATATATATATATATATACACACACACACACTGAAGATACAGTCACTGGCCACCTTATTAGGTGCACCTTGCTAGTGCCAAAAAAAGATCTCCCACACCATTACACCACCAATACCAGCCTGAACCGTTGATACAAGGTAGGATGGATCCACCACACCATGACACCACCACCACCAGCCTGAACCGTTGATACAAGGCAGGATGGATCCACCACACCATGACACCACCAACCTGAACTGTTGATACAAGGCAGGATGGATCCACCACACTATGACACCACCACCACCAGCCTGAACCGTTGATACAAGGCAGGATGGATCCACCACACCATGATACCACCACCACTAGCCTGAACCATTGATACTTGGCAGAATGGATCCACCACACCATGATACCACCACCACCAGCCTGAACCGTTGATACAAGGCTGGATGGATCCACCACACCATGATACCACCACCAGCCTGAACCGTTGATACAAGGCAGGATGGATCCACCACACCATGATACCACCACCAGCCTGAACCGTTGATACAAGGCAGGATGGTTCCACCACACCATGACACCATCAGCCTGAACCGTTGATACAAGGCAGGATGGTTCCACCACACCATGACACACACCACCACCACCAGCTTGAACCATTGATACAAGGCAGGATGGACCCATGCTTTCATGAATGACGCCAAATTCTGACCCTCCCATCTGAATATCGCAGCTAAAATCGATTGCCCATTCTCCTCTGACCTCTGACATTTTCCTCCACACAACTGCCGCTCACTGGATATTTTCTCTTTTTTTGACCATTCTCTGTAAACTCTAGAGATGGTTGTGCTTGAAAATCCCAGTAGATCAGCAGTTTTTGAAATACTCAGACCAGCCCGTCTGGCAACGACAACCAAGCCACGTTCTATGCCACTTACATCCCCTTTCTTCCCCATTCTGATGCTCGGTTTGAACTTCAGCAAGCCGTCTTTACCAAGTCTAGATGCCTAAATGTATTGAGTTGCTGCCATGTGATTGGCTGATTAGCAATTTGTGTTACCAAGAAATTT